ACCAAGCATTCCATAAGTGCGAGGGGGTCAACATGGACTGTGTCCACAAATTGTTGCTCTTTATGAACAGACGGCTAAACAGGGCAAGTGAATATGTGGTGAAGGAAACTCATGTTGTGACTGCATAGGTTAGTTTGAAAACATGACTGATATGGATATCAGTGCTGGTATGTTTTGTCTGATGAGCTTTACAGATGAATGAAAAATCAGGATCAACTTTAAGAAGTAACAAATAATTAAACCTTAACTAAACCAAACCAGAAAAGCCTTCTTTTCTATAACCGACGATTATAGAAAAGATGGCTTACCAGAATTGTTATCATCTACTAAAACCTAAATACAGAATGGTTAAACCATTATGCAAAGTGGGTATTTTTCGTGATACACAAAATATCTACTTCACTGACTTTAAAACAAAATGATTCTGAAAAGCAGAAGCTTAATCTCTTTGTATTACACCTGCAAGGAATCTTTTGTTTGCCTACAACAGCTCAACGGTGAAGGATTTTCATTATTTCATCAGAATGATGTCATCCCTATAGCATGGTTATGGTCACAGCGGTTATTGACAGATTATATTGCTAATTTATTTAATAGATAATAAAAAGTAACTAACCAATCCAAATTGGATCTCTTACTTTACCAAATAAAGTAAGCGATGATGGTATTAACATATAACATGTTAATGCCATCATTTATAAAGTCTAAGTAAATAATTAAAGTATTTAAATGCAAATATATATATATAGAATGACTAAGATATGACCTCAGTGCTTGTGAGTTTTATAAATACTCCTTTCATAGTGGGTGTCCAAATTCATGGGCCGCATCCTCCTGAGGCCGCATGTCACAGCGACACGACGAAGGCTGTCCAAAATTCGTAGACTCTTCTGAATGCAGCCGACTAATGTGTCCTCCTATTCCCCGAATTTGAAGGATGGGTCGGGTGTGTCCTTTGTGTCCCACCATATCCCAGAATTCATAGCGTGGCCCAGCCAATTCCAGTTTCCAACAATTACGGCCGCTACTAAGTTTTAATATTACTGTTATTAATCTTTCTGGGTCACAAAATAAACTTTAAAGATATTTTCAGGCGAGAAAGCAGCCGTGTAAACTATCAAGATATCACATATTTGCAAAAGTGCTCCCACATTTTCGGAGACGTCTGTTACCCACCCCATAGCTAGCTGGGGTGAGAACAGCGAACTCCCTGCACATTGTTTTAAAAGCCCCCCTGGTCTTTCGCTAGTCAGGTTAAAAATGATAGTTACAGTGGCTTGCAAAAGTATTCGGCCCCCTTGAACTTTCCCACATTTTGTCACATTACAGCCACAAACATGAATCAATTTTATTGGAATTCCAC